TCATTGACCAAGATGTTAAAGAATACGGGTCCCAGTACCGAGCCCTGTGGGACACCACTCGTGACCGGCCGCCGACTGGATGTAACTCCAGTCACCACCACTCTCTGGGCCCAGCCCTCCAGCCAGTTTTTAACCCAGTGGAGAGTATACCCATCTAAGCCATGAGCAGACAGTTTCTCCAGGAGGAAGAAGAGCACTTAGCCATGGAATGGCTATCTTATAACAACATTAGGTTAACATCAACTTATCCTCCCTGTCCTGGTAGACACATCTTCAACAGAGACAGGCCAGAAATAAAACCTGCTATAAAAACAGTGTACCTCTGTGCTATTCCTTCTTATACCCTTGCATACCTTAAAAATTGATAAGCATTTACTATTCAAGGAAGTCTTTGGAGTACTGTTTTCACAAAAACACCTTTCATTCTCTTTGCGTGAACCCTCCACCGAAGCTGAAGTGTCTTTTAAAGCTAAGCTTAGAGAATAAGCATGCTTGCACACATTTCCGACATGTAGGTGGAGCAAAGTCCAAGTTGGAGTTAAGGAATAAAGAAAATGTGGAGTTCTGTGAAAACTCCGTCTGTGGCTCAAGATCTGACTGGAGAACAGCCCTTCCACTGCAAAAGAACTGACAATCTTTGCTAGGAATGCAATTGCCTAGCTCTGGTCTCACGGCAGAAACGCATCACCCAAACATAACTGATAAGTGTCATCTGAGATCCCCTAGAGAATTCAGGATGCCTTTGATATCCTATACAGAGGATCAGCAGGCTATGACACAAGCAACCTGTTCTAGTGGGAAATGTCCCTGGGGGAGATGGCAGGGGGGTTGGAACTCAATGATCTTTAAGGTCCCTTCCAACCCAAACCATTCTATGATTCTGTAAGTCCCGTGAGAGATCTGCACCTTTCTTCAGTGGCAGCCAGAGGCAGGGAGGTACCCTTGGTGCCTTTGTTCAGGCAACTGAACCAGGCCTATGTTGACCATTGCAACGCATACACATTCAAGATAGATCTCAAATTAGTGGGCTGACACAGCAGATTTCTGTTGCAAGTGGAAATGGTCTCTTGAAATGCTTTCTGGACCCAGCAGATCATTCAGAATATGTCAGAGATGGGGAAGCAGAAGTCTGACTGAGTGGCTGGCATAGAGCTAGCTATGCTTCAAGTGATTCTCCCTGGAGCTATCATCCCAGATAACATAGTGTGAGGTAAGAGGCCTTAATAATGTAATTTGACTTATTAACTTTTATGCTCTGCAGGTTGCTCCGTAGTTGAAAGGAAAACACAAGTTGCCTATGAAGTCGCAGAGCAGACAATTTTAATGGGTTTTGGTCAGTTAAAAACGGAAAGGTTAGGCTATTTGGATACTAATGGTCTTGTGACAGTCCTTTGTGGGGAATCCCTTTGTCTAGCCCTACGCAAATTTAACACAGATTTTCTGAGACTCTGCCTGGGGCTGTCTGAAACTACTCATCTCAGCACTGCTCAGTGGTGGGACTTAGTAGTCTGAACACAGTTTACTCAATATCTTCATTCCACTTAGCAGGCTGAAAAGGTCAATCTGATCATTTAACCACAGCTCTAATTGTGCAACAGCTGTCCAGGAATGCGAAGAAGAAAAGGAACCACTGACTTCTCACTCCGTATCCCCACAAAACCCCGGGGTTAATTTGGTCACGTGGATGCATGTCCCATTTCTACTTTGCCTGCTGAGTCAGGACACTCAGTGAGTCACGCATCTTGCAATCACTGGAAGCCAACTACTTCTGGCTTGGCAATCATCTGCATTGTTCTCTAACCCACATAAACACCATGAAGATCAGCTCAGGGGTAAAGTTGAAATAATCCTACTGGACTTTTCAATTCTACTCATATCTTAAGGGAGATCCCGCTGAAAGGCTTGAAAAGTACATAACTAGCCTGTTGATAAAAGAAATGATTGTATTTACATCCTCATTCCTTCTTTGACTGACCATGACGGTTTAAGGAATTAATACAGAGGGAAGTCTGCAACAAAGTCTTAGGAAACCTTTGAAATGCTGTCCTGTCACAGCTGTGTATAGCTTTCCAAATGAGTTTGTCCTACAGACAGTCACTTTAGAGTCAAGGAACAGCACGTGTTATCCTGGAAGGTTAATGGAAAAGGGCACCTGATCTATTTATGAGCCAGAGGCTGTTCCCAGGAGAGAATATTTGCTGAGGGAGTGTTTAGACATTAAATGGGAACAAATTTGGTAAAATATTTTTTACTGAAGAAGATGCAAACTCTCATCCACAATAACCTCTCCTTTTCCTGAAATGCCAAAATGCAATTAGGGCATTAATGACCAGATTAATAGGTGGTATTAGGACTGTTACTGGAAGCATACCAAGTACTGGACATACAATTGCACATACAGTTAAGAGACAGCTGCCAGACTATGTGGGCATTGCAAACAGGGGGAAAGGGAATGCTTTGGGCTCTACATGTAACATTGAGAGCAGACAGACTATAGGAAACTACTATAACTACTGTTGTGCAATGCACTTATTCTGTGTGCCCTACTTGGAAGGCAGAATTAGTGCGAGCTAGGACTGAATACCGATTTCTTCATAAGAATGTACATAGCAAACAACAGGGTGGTTGATGTCAATGTCTGTGAAAGCAAGCACCTTTCGAGTCCAGTCTATGTGGTTCTGTTTTAGCCTCAGCTCTATTCAGAAGCCGATCCTAAACTTGGATATTTAGAGGATATGTGTAGATTACAGGCTGAAGCCTAGTAGGTGACTCTTCTTTTTGTAGTGAGGAGTCAAATGTTGACTCTATACTTCTGATTTGGTCTAAATTCCAGGAATCAAATAACTTTTCAAGGACTTTTAGAAGTCAATACTTTGTAATAAATTTTAAAACAGTCTGAGCATGATAAAAAGGACAATAAAAATGTCCTATATGTGCAGGCAAAGAAGAATTCCTTAAAAAAATGTTTCCCTTGTTTGTTGGGAGATAAACTTATTTAGGACAAGTTTCTCAGGATGGTGGGTTCTTTGGAGTTTGTCCCTTTTCTGTTTCCCTTTGGGATTCATTACTTCACTGCTGCTGAGTGTATCTTCCTTAATGACTGGATTCTCTGGTAATACCTTCCAGAAAAACAAATAAACAACCGCTGTCACCTTTTTTTTTGGAGAACAGTTCATATTTTTAAAATTTATTTACAGCTTTGTTCCCTAAAAGAACTGTCAGGTAGATTTTGTGTTCTATTATGCCTATTACATTTTTTCCCTGTGAAAGTGACATCCCTTAGCCATAGAAAAATCTCGGCTTTTCCTCTTAAAAGAAGACTGGGAAGAGATTGTTATGCTGAAGACTGTATTAGATTTAAAACTAGTTAAAATGAGGGAATAAATGTCAGGGAGTAGTTCAGTGTAGTTCGCATTGACTCATTATTCAGTTGCTTTTCAGAATAAATGTAATTGTAATTTTATGTTACCTTGACAGTAAATCAAATGCAAGATAGAATATTTTAAAAGTGGAGTGAACCTAGGTGAATATAGGTTCCTGTATAATTTTAATTTGCTATGTTTGTGAGAGAAGAATGCTTTTATCTTATACACATCTGTCAGTTGGCTTTCCTGTTACAGATTTTAGGAAAGTATTTCCCTTAGAAATAAGAGACAAATTCAGCCACCGTCTGGAAACAAGTTGTGAGGAAACACCATCTCCATTAAAAAAAAAAAAATAAAAATTAGGAAATGGGAGATCAACTGAACCCAAAACCCGCATCAAGCAGAACTCTCATTTAAATGAAAAGGAAAGGTAAGTGAAAATTCTGCATGAGAAAGGTCTGCAGAATGAGATGCAGAGATGTTTGTCCAGCATAATGAGTTTTAACCTGTGATAACTAGACTTCCAGGGACTGCAAAAAACCCCACCCAGGTATTTAAGAAAAGCAGGGTGATTATTTTTTAGTGATCTTAAATTGTTCTATATGCTGCTGAAAAATGGCTAAG